TATTTTTTAATAATCCCTTTTTCATTCGACATACTTTATCTTAATCAGGGTATTAATAAGAAACTAGCAGATAATGTAGCTTTTGTAATTATCCACCAATTTCTTAGAATTAAACACTATCTACTGATTTGCATCGAAGCGTTTCTTATGATAGTGATTTTAATCACTGTCAGATTAAATCTATACTGGACCCAACTATGCAATGTCTCCACTATGCCACGACCCCACTTTGCTACCGATTTTTTTTTTTTATTAGAGATAAATAAATAATATGATATTTATGTATTCCAAATAGTAAAAAAAAAAGTAACACAAAGTATTTGCTGTATCATAAGTTATTAGATTTGTCAAAACATTGTAGACTATACTGTATATTTTAATAAACAATTTTAAAAGTTAAGGCTGATACCAAAGGAATCCAATTAAAATTTTTAATAGAACAAATAATTTGTTCTCTCTTTGACCATTTTTTTATTTCTTTTACAATAAAGACAGTAAAAAAAAGTATTTTTCGTTACAGGATTTTATCATTATACAGATAGTTCAATAGTAAGGTTAATAAATAAAAAAACCCAGCACAGGGGGGTCGGGGCACAGTGGTGCCGTGGTATAGTTGGATCAAGTATAATGATATCTGAAAGTGATTAAAATCACTATCAAAAATAAACGCTTCGATGCAAATCTTTAGATAGTGTTTAATTTTAAAAAAATTGGTGTTTTATTCCAAAAGCTTCTTGATCTGATGGTTCCTTATTAATATCTCGATTAAGACAAAGTATGTCGAATGAAAAAGGGTTTATTAAAAAATATTATTTCTCATAAAAAAATTGTGTGGATCCATAAACTTTTCAATAAGTTATAGCATTATAAAGTTAAATATATTATAAATAATAAAATCGAGAATTTTCACACGAAAATAGCATTCGGTAGCCATTTTCGCCGTGAAGACAAGTCCAGAGGTCAAATTTTTTTTTTTCAAATTAAAGTATATTACATTAGCTTTAATTTAAGATATATATAAAAGTGTCAGACCTTCCGGAACATTTTCAAAAGTTAAGTTGAAAAAGTTAATTTTTTGTGAAAAAGTTGTCATTTTAAATCCCCCCCTGTGGGCAGATTAAGTGTCAGATTTACAAAAAAAATATACCAAATGATAGGTAAAGACATCAAGCATCTATATAAAAAAAATTATATTGATATGGTTCATTTTTGAAAAAGTTACGGCAGTTTTTAGTAAAAAAAATTGAAAAAATTTCGAAAATTAGCGATTTTTAAATTTGTAATTTTTTTGGAGGTTTCCCCCATTTACGGGGAACGAGGGAAATTTTTTCAATTTTTAAGGGTAATGTCTTCGACTAGATACGATTTGTGATCTTTTGACGTATCGTTGAAAGAAATCTGTTCGGTGAGAGCTGAGAAAAAGTGGTAACAGACACAAAAAAAAAAAAACACATCATAGTAAAACCAATACCTTCTCAGCTTCGCATCGAAGCTAAAATCATCCATTTCTATACTTATCATCAATAATATTAAAATATAATTTTACTAATAATAAACATAGAAAACAAAATAAAGAAGGTTATTGATTAATGGTTGATTAAATTTAATACTAATTTACAGATTATGCACTTGTTGTTTTTATGCATTTTGATTATTGATAATATATTTAACACATCAATTAGTTTGATGTATGGCAAATTTAATTTAACTATGAAAGGATGTCTTCATTTAATTACGACAATATATGCTGATCGAACAACACCGCAAATCATTAATAAAATTCATAAATTTGACAAACAATACAAGTCTCAATTTCAGTTTAAAATTAATTCTCGAAGCATAATTTATGTTTATTTACTACTCATTTTTACCATGATAATTTTCAGCATTATAGATTTGATTTATAATGGAATATCATTAAGCAACATCATTAATACTTTTTTAAGGTAAAATATTTATGTACTCAGTTAGAAAATCCCACTTTACTTATATTTATATTTTTAATATAATACGAGATCGTCATTTTTTTAATGCAACCTTTTTAATTAAAGTAAGAATTCCTTAAATCAGAGTCATATTATTATTGTTTTTAACAATAATTGAATATTCAATGTAAAATATTATTCTTAAAATTAAAGAAAACATTGTTAATTATTATTTTTAAATCAATTTAAAAATAATCAAATGTATATTTAAATAATCTTTTAGTGCTAGTTTATTATTCTGCACTAAATCATTTTTTAACATATGTATAAAAAAAATGTTTATCTCATTTTTAAAATTTTTCCAATGGTTTTTTTTATATTCATCAGATTTTTTATTGAATTTATTTTAGATCACTTTGAAAATTATAAAATTAAGTAACGAAATTATTGATAAATAAGTTATATAAATATAAAATTACTAAATAGTTATACCAATAAAAAATATAAATTGCTAGTTCTATAATGAAAAATATTTTATGGGATAACACACGTGTGTTTAAAATTTATAATAATTAAACATTTAAATGATAGTCTTATTATTTATATTGACATACAACTTTACTTTTTAGGCATTGGAATACTTTATTTCCACTTATGTACTTGATACTTTGCAATGAACTACGTTGGAGATTTAAAATGTTGAATATACGATGGAAAAATGAAATATCCAACATGGATACTATTAAACTTCAGAGTATGGCAAAATCAATAGAATTTGAACGTTTAGCACACGCTCACCTTTGTGAAATAGTTGAAGATCTAAGTACTGCCTTTGGACCTCGCCTTGTTATATATTTCTTTTTTTTGTTTTATGATCATTTGATACGTTTTTTCTTGTACACGTATTTGATTCCATATATAAATGTTGATGAACTATCTAAAAATCCTGGACACTACTTTTATGAATTGTTGATATTTTTTTTGTACAATTGGACAGGACTATACCTAATTGCCTTACTTTCTGATAAATTAACACTGACAGTATGTATATTATGTATATTTATATGTATACAGAGTGATTCATTTTTCCACATTTCTTATAAGTTTTTACTTAATTTAAATTTTATTAATATTGGTTATTAATATAATTATTGCTTTCTTAGTCTTTTAAAAGCATATTTTTTCTTATTAGAGATAAATAGAACACGGAATATTATGAAATTATATTTTTGTGAATAATGTGTACACGATTATAAGGGTTTAAAATATCGATCATTTATACCTCTACAAATTTTTATAAAAGTATTTATAATGCATATTTATCATATTTTAAAGTTTAATGCGTATATAGGAATTCATGCATATTAATTCATAAATTCATTAAAAATGTATGTTTAAAATCTATATAGTTCTATCAACTGTATTAAATGACAAAATAACTTATTTATCGTCTGAAAAAATTTGTTTGTATATATAAAATAAATATATTTGAAGTATATTTTAATATAATAGATAAATTATTTCATCAAGCTTTTGATTTTTTCTTTTCGAATTTAGTTTGAGTTCAATTAGTACATGAGCTCTGAATTAGTTGTTCGTCTTCTGATGTGTTTTACCACATATCCTTCTATTGCTTTTTTTCGCAGTCTTTTATGCCTGAACAATTTTTTATAGCAGTCGTATTTTCTTTATTTTATTTTGTACCTCTTCATTCATCATCTTCTTGCATATTGGGCTAGATTTTAAAAAACTAGACAACATAATATATAATCTATAAAATGGTCTATTTTTTTATTCTTATTCAATTTCCGTCAAACTAAGAAACACAATTCTTGTTATGATAATAGACGGGAAAACCTGTATAGCTCTTAGGAAGGGCATCGAAAATCGATAGCTATGCCCCAAGGAACAACGCGTTCCTGATCAAGTAATACAAGTCGTCGAGTTAATAATATAAACTATAACTTGAGTTTTAAAGACAATTAATAATATAATAAAATCTTGTCTTTGAAGAAATGCATTATAAAGTATGTATTTGTGCATATTTGCATTATATTTGGTTTTTTTTAAGTGCAAATAATACCGTGCTCTAGTAAAGAATAACAAAAAATATGCTTTAAACACAGACTAAAAAGGCAATATAAAAAAAAAATCAATGATGTTATAATTGATATTTGATATTATCAAATCATATGAGAGATTTTAGAACATTGTGGGTTATTCTGAATATTATTGTAAGAGAAAAATGGAAAGTTTAAGTATATTGCCATTTAAAAAGATTTTTAAACATAGGTGTGTGTAGACTTTGATATCAATATCGATAAGCATTGTAAGTAGTCAAAATATAAAGTGATCTTAAGCTCGAGTTAAAATTTTTCATCAATACATATAAAAACTTTCTTTTGTTTAGCTGATTTATTTATTTTTTTCAATTATGTTATTAAAAAAACTTACATTCCTATTTTTTTATTATTTGTTGATAAGAATAACAAATAGTCTGTCTAAAATTTATTAATAACGGAGGCTAGTCAATTACGTCTATATTTTTAATTAAGAAAAAAATTTTCAATTCTTATTTAAATAATGTAGAGAAATCTATTTATTTATATTTATTCAAAAAAAATTTTTCAGAGTAAAAAAATGTTGGTTTATTTGAGAAGTATACCAGTATGGAAAATGCCAAAAAATTGTGTTGATCAGGTACACGATTTATAGAAAAATATTATTATAAATATTAATATGTTTGAAATCAAAATAAAACCTGAGTTTGGAGTAAAATTCAATATTTTAGTAGCGAATAATTAGACTAAAAACAGTTATGATAGTTATAAAAAAAAATTGAAGTAACACTAGCCATTTTCTTCAGATATCTTCTTGACTTGATTTTAATAATTAAAACTTAAGAAACTTTGTTATTCGCAAATTAATTTCTTATAGAAGACAGGTGAAAAATTATTTAAAAAACTGATTTTAAAATTTATTGTTACAGATAAATTTTTTTACGTGTCAAATACAAAATTCGAATACTAAAATTACGGCATCTAAGCTTTTTACAGTAAAAAATTCTATTATATCATCAGTAAGTTTTATTTTTTTTTTTTATTTCATTCAAATAAGTTTGAAAAATAATATTTTATTAGTAGTAAAATTTTGGATTAAAGGAATATTTAAATGTTCCGACAATTGATATACTTAAAAGTACAATATGATAAAAAAAAAGGTAGTTATATTATAATAAAAACCCAACACAGTGGGGTCGAGGCATAGTGGAGACGTTGCATAGTTGGGTCCAGTGTAGATTTAATCTGACAGTGATTAAAATCACTATCATAAGAAACGCTTCGATGCAAATCTGTAGATAGTGTTTAATTTTAAAAAATTGATGGATAATTGCAAAAGCAACATCAACTTCTATTTCCTTAATTATACCCAGATTAGTAATTCTTTTAATTATATATTATATAATTTTAAAATTAATTGTTTTCAAATTATTATTGATTTTGATTTTTAATATGTTAAAAGTAATAATTTTAAACCTACTTTTTATTGTCCTTTAAAGTGAAAGTTTTAATAAAAAAAAAAAATGAATTTATTACCATAACATTTAGCTCAACTTGCAAGTTTGAAATTCACATTATTAAATAGAAAAAAAAGAAAGTATTAAGATTAATATGCAATCAGGGAATTTTATAATTACTATTTACAGTACATTTATCAGAAAAGTTAGATTATTTTACATTTTTATCGAAATAGATCACTTAAATAAAAATCATAGTAATCATTTCTAATTAATTTTTGGGGTTTAAAAAGATTCTACAATGGAAATATTCAGAATTTAATTAATTTTAATGATTATATATCTAAAAAAACCAATAAAAAAAAAGTTATTAAAAAGATTTACTCAATTGAGCGTGAATGAACTTTTTTCTTTGTCAATTAAATTATAAAATATTCATGAATGTCAGTGTATTGCCCTTATAAGATATTTTAAAATAAAATAAAATAAAATACAAAACCCAGGATTTTAACACAAAAATAGCATATTTTTGAATACGGTAGCCATTTGCGCATAGAAGATGGGTCGTCGGGACAATTTTTTTTTTTAATTTTATAGTACATGACATAAGCTTTAATTTAACATATGTTTAAAGGACGCAGTACTTCCGGAACATTTTCAATAATTAAGTTGAAAAAGTTATTTTTTTTAAAAAAGTTACTATTTTAAATCCCCCCAGTGAGCAGAATAAGTGTTAGATTTTCAAAAAAAATTATATCAAATGAAAGGGAAATATCTAAGATTTTAGTATAAAAAGAAATTATGTTGATTTGTTTATTTTTTAACAGGCTTATATTAGTTTCACTTGTATGTATGTTTGTATGTATGTAACTCTCCTAACGCCACGCGTTATCGCATATTCCGTCGTCTAGACTAGACTGTCATAACGCATTCACCCCACCCCACGCCACGCTCATCACACGACGGCAAACTATTCCTATAAAAATTTATTTTTAGTTATCGTACCCGTACACGCGTGCTTGTCATCAATATTATATATATATAAACAAATTTTTATTTTGACTGACCAATACCGCCCGCGTCTAATGCGCCTTACGTATATATTCCTACCGCCCTTTATTCCTCAGGTATATCGTTAGTCCGACCCGCCCGCTTACAAAACACGGCTATACCTAATGCATGATACATTTACGTACTTATGTCGCTTTACATATATATATATTCTAATTACTATTAAAAATATACTATTATGTATATTAACACACTATTCTTATTTAGAGATATAGAACTCATTCATTCCGATTACAAAGGATGAATCCAGTATCGTCATTTTTCGTCACTACCTCCATGTTCCGGGAGTGGGTAATTTATGCGCCTGCTGCTTTCCTTGGATGTGGGAGCCGTTTCTCAGACTCCCTCCCCGGAATCGAACCCTGATTTCCCGTTACCCGTTACAACCATGATAACTACTATCATAACATAAAACTAAAAAGTGAAAAATAAATATAGTTTAAAAAAACACGTTTTTAAAGCACATCGAACTAAAAAGTTAAAAATAATTTTTAAAATAAGTTTAAAATAATTATGAACAAAAAATACTAGTATTATTGTGATAAAAGCGTGGGTGCATTGTGCCATATTTTTCGTATATTGAGCGCCCGACGCTTTTATCTCAATAATACTAGTATTTTTCGTACATTATTGTTTTAAGCTTATTTTAAAAATTATTTTTAACTTTTTAGTTCGATGTGCTTTAAAAGCGTGTTTTTTTATTATTTTTAAACTATATTTATTAAAGTTATGGAAGTTTTAAGAAAAAAAAGTGAAAAAAATGACAAAATTTACCGATTTTTAAATTTGTAATTTTTTTGGATATTTCCCCCATTTGCGGGGAACGAGGGAAAATTTTTCAATTTTTAAGGGTAATGTCTTCAACTAGATACGATTTGTGATCTTTTGACGTACTGTTGAAAGAAATCGGTCCAGTGAGAGTTGAGAAAAAGTGTCAACAGACATAAAAAAAAAAAAAAAAACACATCATGGTAAAATTAATACCTTCTCAGCTTCGCATCGAAGCTAAAATAATATACAAACTGACTTGTTTACTACCAACAACTATTATTTTTCGTCGAATTAATAACATTTTAATTAATAACAAATAATAACTATTTGCTTAATAATTTTGTCATTATGCTGACAAAGTTATTTTTAAATCAATCAAAAAATATTATTAACAGCAACTTTGTTGATTTTACTAAGGTTTTTCAACAGAGTGGGTTAATAAAAAACAAGTTTTATAATAAACAAGTCGACTGCTAGAAACTATAAATAAATAAATTATAACCAATGAAAAATATTCTAAAATGTATTGACTATTTATATTACTTATAGGCATTTGTTAAAACTCACTTAAAATTATTTCAGTTTTTATATTAAATCTAAGAACTTTTATAATATTAATATTTAAATTTAGATTAAGTGAGAGTGTATTATAAAATCGATATGCGCAACAAATAAGTCAGTAATTCATTTTTCTTATTTTTCAGGAAATCAAAAATAAAATGTATTCTCTGATTACACTGTATGTTTATAGATTTTCTAAGTTATTAATTTCAAATTTATACAAAATTTTCAATATTTCGATGGAAGTTATTATAAAAAGAGTAAAACTTAAATCCAAATACCTCACAATCTCAAAGTTGAATTTTTTGAGTTACTGCCTTATTCGTTGTACATGGCATTATAATATATTCTCACTTAATGCACACTAATAGTTCCAAAGAAAGCATTATTATTTTTATTTATAACAAATATCAACTAAGATAAAACAAAATAAAAATTAGTATTTATTATAAACTAACGCTCGTAAAGGCAAAATAGAGTACAATTAAAATTTTACATTATAAATATAATAAGTTATTAAAAAATAAAATCTAAAATATTTACTACAAATTTAATTTTATTTACGTTATATTGAGAAATCATATTCCAAATTTTGTATGAGAGGCCAATAACATAGGATAAAGCTGACTAAACTTATCATAATTATAAGAGCATATTTATTTGGAATGGTGTATCATGACGAGAAATATAATTAGGTGTATTAAAATTCATTTTCTTGAAAATTTTGGCACAGTCAATTGGGATGTTAAAATTTTGAATAAAAACATTATATAAAAAAAAACTCATCTCTTTAAAAGATAATTTAAAATAATTACATTAGGTACTTCAGTTAGCAACTATAAGTCAAATTAAGTTTATACATTAATAAATATTTCTTTTTCAGATTTTCATGGCATTGGTCACATATATTATTGCATTGATACAACTATCACAAGATATAAAAAAATCATTAATTAAAATAAAATATTTGGATAACTAAATGTTGTTGTTCCAATGAAACTCATTGGTTAATACAAATATCACCAAATGTTCAAATAATTTTCCAAAATTTATTGTAAATCTAATTGAAATAAATGGAAAAATAATTCTTATTTATTCATATATTTAATTTATATCGAAATTTTAAGTTTAACACTTAAATGAATGAACAGCAAACATTGATCATCCTTTATAGATTAATAAGTTTCCTTTACCTTTAAATATTGGTACCACATTACTATTGCTACATTCATTTGGAATTTTTCTTTCTAAAAAGATTTTATTTAAAATTTCCTTCAACCACCTTATGCCAACGCTGCCTAATATTTCCTGTGCATTTACTGGCAATTCATATGGTCCTACTGCTTGATTCTTTTTCATTGATTACATTCATTACATTCAACACTTTTTCCTAGAAAATCAATTTTACATCTATAATTCTACGATTTTTCCTAGCTACTACTACTACTTTACTTTTAATTTCATCATCCATAATTATCTCGACACCATTCTTTGTAATAGACTTACGAATTTCTATTGTTTCTCATTATATGTAACAATTGATCTGTTTCCTTACTTACTGAACACTGTATACATAAAGAATGTATGTGTACAGATATACATTTGTCAGTGTCGCTAACTCGTTTCACCTGTTTATTCCAATGAAATCCAGAGCCCCTCAAAAGAAGTTTTCACTACAAAAAATGTTTTGTTTTTCTAATTGATGTACTCTGTGTTCTGTTATATAATAATTTAAAATTTATTATTTTTATATTATACGCAATAATAATTTAAAATGTAAATTATAATTAGTTGATCAATAGATTATTTGGATAACTTCCATATTGGTATACTTCTCAGGTGACTCATTATTGTTTTACTATAAAAAAATTATTGGATTTTGTTTTTACATATTTTTTGATTTTTAGATTGTTAAAACAAATGTTAAATACAAGTTTGACTTTCATAAAAAATACATTTTATCTTAAATAATATAGGATGTTTTTAATTAGGAAAAAAGTTGCTTCCTATTTATTTATGATTAATATGTTTAAAATGGTTTTTACATTAATTAAAATAAAAAGTGTTAATTAAAGTATTATTATTATTCGTGTATTTTTATTGCATTATTAATGTTTCTTATTGTAGAATAAAAGAGGTACGATTGATAAAATTTAAAAAATTAAAAAATAATGAAAACATCGATAAAATTTTGTTTGTTACATTACATTTAAACTTAATTTTTTAATAAAGAAAAATATTTTTTTTTAAATTAATAAGTAACTACGATATGAGCGTAGATGATGTGAGAGATCGTGTCAAAAGGAAGCTTAGGATAAGAGTGGCCGACCCTAAGTAGTTGAGATTAAGGCGAGGAAATAGAAGAAGTAGAATTAGTTACTACAAAAAACACCAAGAAAGTAATGTTACAAGGCTTCTACATATTATAGGTTGACTTTTTTTTAATAAATTGTATGTTTATTATGCGGACTTAGTTTTCATAAACTACATGAGAAGATGAGGCTAGTGAAAGAGTACAATCAGAAAATTACTAGTGATAAAAATAGCTGTACACATTTCACACCTCCAATTATAAGTTTAAATTGTAATAACTTCCGAAATACTGGTCCAAAAGTTTTTATCGATATAATTTTCTTATTTACTACGTTATCTATTAAATAAACTAGTAAATTGTGTATATTGACATAAAAAAAAATAAAGTTGACATCGTTATAATTTATAAGGGATGATTCTAAAAAGTAATTTATAGGTGATAATCTAAGAAATATATATAAATAAAAAAAGTCAAACATTTTTTTCCTAAAATTGTCCATAAAATATTTTACTGTTTATAAAATAATTAATACTATAAAATTTACAGCTAATATAAGTATTTCAGAAAAAAAAGTAATAAAAACGATTCCTATGAGCGATAAAAAATAATATATCCCTATAAAAAAATTCTGCATTTTTAGACAAATCGTCTAACATATATGATTTTAAGTAAATCGAAAAGTGCGCCATAGTTTTTCCAAATCATGAAATCGATAAATTAATTCATCACATAACACCAAGTACATCAATGGAAAAATTATTGTCATATGTAGTTATTTACTACATTATTTATTAAATAAACTAGTAAATTGTGTATGTTGCCATTAAAAAAAAAATAAAGATGACATCCCTATAATTTTTAAGGGATGATTATAAAAAGTAATTTATAGGTGATAAATTAAAAAATATACATAAATAAAAAAAGCCAAACATTTTTTCTTAAAATTTACCATAAAATGTTTCACTGTTTGTAAAATAATTAATTTTAATAAAATTTACTTACAGCTAATGTGAGTTTTTCGGAAAAAGATGTTATGAAAAATATTCCTATCCAGCTATGTGTGATAAAAAATAATATATCACTATAAAACAATTTTTCATTTTTAGAAAAATCGTCTAACATATAGGATTTTAAGGAAATTGAAAAGTAAAAGTGTATTAAGTGCTCTTGAAAAACAAAAAAGACATAAGTGGCAAGACGTAGTCCAAATATTGAGCGAATTTCTTCAAGAATATTACAAAGAAAAGCATGTGCTAAACGCTCTGTCTCTAATTTTTCAGTTGAAAATAGTGTTTTATTATTTAATATCTCATTGACATTAGTTCGCCATCGTTTTTCCAAATCTTGAAATCGAAAGATTAATTCATCACATAACACCAAATACATCAATGGAAAAATTGTTGTCATATATCTGAAATATAATAAACTTTGCGTTTATTTAACTTTAAACAAAATAATAAGGCTGTTTAAAACATTAAGAATAAATAATATAAAACTATTAGAAGATATGAATAATCATAAACATTAACCTACATAATGAATTTGTTATTCTTAAAGGTAAAGTTAAATTTATCAAGCTCCATCCTCTGCTTATACTGACAAACAGTCTTAGTTTTTATAAAAACTTAGTTAAAGAGAAAGTTGTTGCACTAACATTATAATGCATGAATTTAAAGATTATTCGTCCATTTTACTTGTACTAAAGTCACTGATGATTTTAAACTGTTTGTTGATCTCTTACAAGCTTATAATATATCGTTGTACCAACCCCTAAATTATATAGATTTGGGTGGTAGAGGTAGTGGTAGAGGTTGGGTAAAGTCTTTATAGCAGTTAATTCAAAGTTGAACTCATCTGTAGTTAATTTATTAACATTAATTGTTAAACAAGTTTCAATACTATTAAAGATCTTCCTTCTCGATTGGGGCAGTATTACTAGTATTATAAAGATTAAGGTAAATTAAAAAAATTGTCTGTTTCTATAATTACATTTTTTTTTTATATATAAAGTCATGAAAAGTAGACTTATTTAAGTGAAACAAAAAAATAATATATTTTAACCAACAACTATATATATATTGTTATCAGTTATGAAGAGTTTTTACTCTTTTCTCTTTTATATTTTGAAAATATTTACTTAAGTAATTTGGCGAAATATTTAGTTTTTACGTATATATTAGTTTTTTCTTGGTATTAAGCTGTACGTGTTTTCTTGAGGTAATTTAGTTGAATAATTATTTTATTTTAACTTCTTTTTTGTTCAGCTTCAATTTTAGAGTGATATTAAATTCAAACTAGTTTGCATTAAATATTATCTTGGAATTAAAACAAAACATACCCAACACCCAGCTTATCAAACACCTACCAATGCAAATTCTTACGAGGTTGTACTGTAATGGACATAAAATTACTTGTCAAGTGTACGCTGAACTTATTTCATGTAAAAATAGGCTTATTTGATTATAAAGCATATATTGGATGGTTAGAAAAATAAAGAAACGGGTTTCTATTGTTCTCATTGTGTTGTAACAATTGACCTGTTTCCTTACTTACTAAACACTATAAATTGGATAAAAATGAAAAAAAACTAGTTTTTTCATGGTGCTAGAGTTTTTATAGCAGTTAATTGAAAGTTGATCTCATGTGTAGTTAATTTATTAACATTAAATGTTAAACAAGTTTCAATACTATTAAAGATCTTCCTTTTCGATTGCGGCAGTATTACTACCTCCTAACACTCCAACTACTGTAGTTGAATGATTTGTATATACCATTGATTGTCTTGAATCCATATTTACACCCCAAACATACATATTTTAGATAATTTCAACTTACTTAACGTTATTTGGTCTAACGATTTTATGCAAGTTCACTTACAATGAAGCGTCTCACACCATATTATAGATGATTGCCGACGTGTAGCATATAAAAGAAGACAGCTAGATAAAATTATATTAGTAATCTGTAAATAACCGTATTATATATTATAATGCATATATTGCATATATTATTAACCACTTTAATAATAAAAATTTTTAATTAATAATAAGAATTTTTATTTGATTTCTTTTAAATAAATGTTTTTCCAATTATCAATCAAAGATTTTTATTTCCATCCCTTATACCTTAAAAGAGTGTCAATTTTATTTTTTAAAATGTTAAAATGTATAATTAATTGGCTTATAAAATAGGAAAGATTGGCGTTTGAGATAACTATAGTTTAAATAATTAATATTTAAATCCGTTATAGTAAATATTATAGTTATAATACTCTAAACAATACAACGTTGCATAACGAAAACATACTAGTATTAAACACAAACAGTTTTTATATTTTTTAACAAAAAATTAACTTAACTAACGATTATATTAATATGAGTTTTACTTGAAAATTCAAATTTATCATAGCTTAAAAAAATATTAATTAAGTACATACGATAGGATACAAAATGTTCATTCCCCATCCAAAAGATGGTACCCCACGAAAAACGTTCTTAACACTGGATATAAGTATTATCTTGTAATTAATTAACGCTATTCTCACATTATCATAAACGCTTTTGTTTGAAATTTGGTAGATACTTTATTTTAATAAATAACTAGCGTATGCAATAGTACGAGAAGATACAAAAAAATTGATTTATATTAAATAATTTTTTGATTACACGCTATTTGTTTACAAAAAAAAGTTCTTTAGACTTTTAC